ACGACCCATAGCCTGCTGCAGTGCTGCTTTTCCTGGTCCTCAATTCTTCAGAATTGTCATCTTTGCTTTACTTGGCCAAAACCTGGTTTCAGCCCACTATATCCATCTGTTTCAGCCAGAAAAAGTTCCTCAGCTTTACATCTTAGCAAACTTACCCAGGCACATCAGCAACCAAGAGATTTCCATACTCTCATTAAAACTGCAATAAAAACCAGGAAAGACTTTGCTAATAATGAAAGAAAGTTTCTAGGCTCGGTAACTTTATGACCCTTCCCTGTCGCCCTGCAGGCCTGTACTCTGGGAAAGGAACGTGCAGCAAAGGAGCTGCTTTAGAACACCTGCCTATTGCTGAGGCAAGTCTGTGGCAAGGCTCACTTTCCCATCAGACAGGGAGGGTGATTCCTGGCTTTCTCTACATAGATTTACAGTTTGACTACTCTTTGAGGCTTGACTTCTACTTTCATATTGGCCTTGATTTACATACATGTGCTTTCCAAGGAGAAAGGTTGGTTAATAAGATGAAATTGGAGCCTTGACAATATGTGTGTCCTATTACAGTCCCATCAGCCGGCCCCTCTGGCCTGCACAGGTCCCTGTGGAACGCATTCACTCTCCTCTCACCAGTTGTGAGAGGAAGTAAATGAACTGCTTTTCAGGGAGCTAATAGGGCTAAGAAAGTACTGTGGGTATAAAAGCCCCTGAGATTTTTAGGAAGAATGAGCTCTTCATATATGTTGTACTTCTTTTTTATCAATTTGGTACGTGCCCCTAGTGGGAATCGAACCCGGGACTCTTTTGTCCGCAGGCTGACGCTCCAACCACTGAGCCAAACATCCAGGGCTACATTGTACTTCTTAGTCTTTCCTTTTAAGCCTGTGAAAACACTCCCTTAATGCTGCACTTCTTGCGAGTTAACACACTTTTCATCTCCTCTTCATGGCAAGGTTCTTCTTTTTTTTTTTTTATCCTCACCCAAGGACACCTTTGCATTCATCCTCAGAGTGAGAGGGAGAGAGGGGTGGAGAGAGAGAGAGAGAGAAATATCGACGTGAGAGAGACACATCAACCGGCCACCACCCACACAACCCCAACCAGGGCGGGGGACAAACTGCAACCGAGGTACGTGCCCTCAGCAGAAACCGAACCTGGGACTCTTCAGTCCACAGGCCGACGCTACAGCCGCTGAACCAAACCGGCCAGGGCCATAGCAGGGTTCTTAAAGAGAGCTCCATACATATTCTCTTCACTTCACCTTTGACTCAGAAATTGCATTTCTATCATTTGATCCCAAGGAAATGGTGAGAGATGCATACAAAGAGTTGTGTATAAGAATGCTCATTATAACCTATTACAATAATAAAAATTGGAAACAATCTAAATAATCAATAAAATGGAGACTTTAAAAATGTATGTCCTATATAAGTCAGGATTTGGTAATGCAGAAAATGACAGAAAACCCGTAATAACTGCAACAGGAAGAGGTGTGCTGTCTGAGGTGGCTGTGCTGGCTGCGTCCCACCAGGCCCCAGGGCTGGGGCTCCTTCTTCTTTGTCTCTTGTGTCTGGCCTTTGTTCCTAAGGATCACTTCATGGACTGAGAGGGCCACCTCAACTCTAGTCATCAGGTGCAAACTCTAGCCAGTAGGAAGAGGGACAGGACAAAGAAAGATGGGTCAGCCTAGGCCAGTTTGGCTCAGCAGTTGGAGTGTCAGCCCGTGGACCAAAGAGTCTCGGGTTCAGTGCCGGTCAAGGGCAGTACGTTGGTTGCCGTTCAGTCCCCAGCAACCAATTGATGTGTCTCTCTCATGTCGATGTTTCTCTCTCTCTCTTTCTCCTACTCTATCTGAAGATAAATGGAAAAGTATCCTCTTGTGAGGGTTAAAACAAACAAAGAAAAAGATTAAAAATATAAATTAACAAAACTGGGCATGGGGTTGGGGGATGGGGAGGAGGGTGTCAATGGGGTAAAAAAAGGAGAAACATCTGTAACAAAAATAAAATAAATAAAAAATAATAATAAAATAAAATAAAATTTGGTTTCCAATTGAAAAAAAATAAAATGAATAAATTAAAAAGAAAGATGGGTCAAAGGTCACTCACCAACTATCTCTGACATACTTCTGTCTACATTCTGCCGGCATGTTTATCTAAGGCATCACTGTTCATCCATTAGAGAAGAAGGGAGTTTTGCAAAAGTTATTATTTGGACCCAAGCCTTGAGTTGATTAGGGTTGAACTTTAGGCAAAGGACAACTCAGGCAGTTGATCTCTAAAGAGATACTTTTTTTTTTTTTTTTTTTGCAAGTATCTGAAGTTTCCCAGTGTCAGATTTCTATTTTCCTGCCTTGAGGGAAGGTGATCCCCCTGGGATGCCTTGCTGCCCTCTGCATTTATACTTTTTTGTCCCTTATGTGCTTTATAAAGTTGCTAACTTCCAAAGCCCTTACTTGTATGTTTCAACCCTCAGAGGCTCAGCCGAATGTATGCAAAATACTAGTAAAAATAAAATGTAGAAGTTCTAAACAAATTTACTAAAAATCACTAAATTGTACATTTTAAGTGGATTTTATACCAATAGTTAAAAAAAATTTTTTTTTATTGATTTTTTTTTTTTTTAGAGAGAGAGGAAGGGAGAGAGAAAAACATCGATGTGAGAGAGAAACATTAATCGGTTGCCTCCCGCATGCCCCCAACTGGGGATCCAGCCTGCAACCCGAGCATGTGCCCTGACCAGGAATCAAACCAGGACCTCTCAGTCAGATGCTCAATCCACTGAGCCACACTGGCCGGGCTCAATAAAGTAGTTTTTAAATATCCAGGAAAAAATAAAATGTAGGGTGAGTAGATTAGACCAGTGATCTCCAAATATAGGGTGGGGCAAAAATAGGTTTACAGTTGTGAGAACACGAAACACAGAGTTTATTTTCATATTATTATTTATTAATGACTGTATTTCCACACGAACAACTGTAAACCTACTTTTGCCCCACCCTGTATTTTTTTTCATACTCCCCTGACAGAGAGAAACAAAAGTTGAGCATGGGTTTCCATATTTGTGGGCTTATTTATTTAAATTGTATACATCTTAAACTCTGTTAGTATATGCTATAAAATAGCTAAGAAAGTAGAAATTTGAACAGATAGAAAAACATATAAGTACAAGTTCTCATGATTTCTTGCTTTACCTCCATGGATCTTACATATCTGGACTGCCTACACCCCCTTGAAACACTGACACTGACAAGCAGTCAGCAAACAGCTCTGCAAGGACCTCAGAGCAGGAAAGAAAGGGGGGATTCTTTACTTTTAAGGGGCCTAAATTAGGCTAATGTATCAGTAACAGCCACTACTTTGACATTGACATATGCCTTTACAGTTTTAATTGCTTTCTCACAGGTCATCTTTTTCGTTCTCTCAAAGAGAAATGAAGGGGATCAAAATAGGAGATAGATTGGGAAGAATCCTGAATGCCTTACTAAGAGGAGTTTGAACTTGATTACAAAAACAAATCACAGAGGGGATACTTACAGTCCCAAATCCTCTCAGGACCTGGCTTTCTTATCCGAGGGGAGAGGGGAGAGCCACTGAGGGAATGCACGGAGCTACACCTATCCTGTGGCCCTCGGGCTCAGTGCAGCGCCCTACACAGCAGAGCCCGAGTCTCTGCAGATGAGGAAGGCGGCAGTGGGCTTTCCCATCCTGGGGTTCATCTTTCAGCACTTCAGAACCAGGAGTTAGTCAGCTTAGCCAACAACTGCCCTACCCTTCTTCTTAGACTGCTTCTCTATCCATGTGACTATTATTGGTGTACTCAGTTTCCAAAAGGACGCCTTGATACATTTATGTGGACCGCCCCACCAGGAGTATGTGTGCAGCTGTTTTCACACCAAGAGTATTTTCCCAGATTCCTGTGTCTCTTGTTTTCCTTCAGCAGTCTGAGCTCAGCTGATCATGTTCTACATGCCATATTTAGCTCTATTTAGGGAATAAGGCTGGACTTGTACTGATCTGTACTTTGTCCCTATCTATTCCACCACCAGCTGAGCTGTCTGTCCTGCTTACTGCAGGAACATTGTGAGAACCTCGTAGAATGTCTAATAGGACACTGCTTTGAAAGATCTAGAGCTGCTCTTCACAGAAGGCACCCTAGGGACTTGGTAGAGGTAGCTATGAAGCAATAGAAATAACTATATTATTTAGTGCTGAGGATTATGCCGTTTTCCTGCTGAAAAACCTTCAGTGACTCTCCTTTGACCAAAGTCCTAAGAGGGTCAGTGAATGGCCTTGGTCCAAAGAGAGGTTATAGCAGCCTGCCAGATGGGGAGCAACGAGAGCGTCACATTGTGCTCTCGGTCACGTTGTGGGTGTTGCCACAATCTGAGCCAAAGAGAGATGCATATCTGTTTATGATACCTGCAAAAGGGGCTCAACGTTGACGCTTTGGCCTCATATCAGGTGTGTCACAGGTCCATGCACTGAAACGGGATGGAGGAGGAGACACTGGAGGTGGCATGTTGCCAGCTCCCTGGTGATAAAACATCTTGGCTTTGCAGTCAGAAAACCTCATTCAGACCGACCTTTAACAGCCTTTCAAGCAAGCAACTTCATCTCTAAGGACTCCTGAAAGGATTTCACAAGGTTAAATGAAGTAACATACATAAAGCACTGTTACTATTATTCTTATAAAGTAAATACCATTCTGCTTTGTGTCAGGTTTGCTGTTACCATATGTCTCCCAACTTGTAAACAAAGCCTGTCCCATGGATGTCTATTTCTTCCCCTCAGCAACCAGCCCAAAACTCTCAGTGTGTTCCACGGAATCGTCCATCGATTTCTAGTTGTGTCATTTTTCTAAATTTTACTTCTTTCAATGGAAATCTGGATATTCAGGGTAGCCCTCATGTAATTCCCATCACAGGACTGGCACGCATCCACCCAGAGCTCAGGGAGGAGTCCGCACCGCATTGGAAACGGTACTCAAGTTGTGCTTCTTCCTTCCAGGGATTTCCCAGACGACCCACGTGCGCAGTGGGACACAGAGCGTGTGGCCAGCGTCCTCCTCCGGCACATAGAAGTGAATGACATTAACCTGGTACGGGACTGCTCTCCCAGAATGCAAAGCTGGGGCCCAGCCACACCTTTCCTGGTGCCACTTTCTCACTCCCAGCCCCTTTCCAGGGCCACTCTGGAAAGAGGCCACAAGCCCTGGCCGGTGCGGCTCGGTGGTCAGCGTGTCAGCCCGGGCACTGAAAGGTCTCGGGTTCTATTTCCAGTCAAGGGCAAGTGCCTGGTTGCAGGTTCAATCCCCAGCCCCAGTTGGGGTGCATGTGGGAGGCAACCAAGCAATGGTTTCTCTCACATCAATGTTTCTCTCTCTCTCTCCCCATCCTCCCTTCCACTCTGTCTAAAAATCAACGGAAAAAATATCCTCTGGTGAGGATTAACCAAAACTAAAACAAAAACAAAAAAGGCCACACACCCTCCAGTGCTCTCTCTTAAACCTCCTGATGACAACACACGTTTTGTGAGACTAAGGAGCCAAATTGTCAGCGTTCAGAGGCACAGGTTTTTTCCAGTTGTGCCCTCTGTCCTGCCACCTACAAACTCAGGTCCCCACGGAGCCGAGCCGCAGCTCCCATTAGCACAGAACTTCAGCCACGACCGAGCATTTTCGGATTTAGAGTCTCGTTTTAACTTTAGAGGTAAATGCTGTTGTCATTCTCCTTTTCCATCAAGGACATTGAGGTTTCCAGAGACCAAGCAGCTAGTCTAAGTTCAGCAAGTGGCAAAACTACAATTTTAAGCCTTGGTTTCAGAAAAACACATGGATAGATTCACACCCACTGCAGGGAGAACATTTGAGTCACCGTAGGGCAACAGTGGAGATTCGCCTTTACCTGCAGAGGTGGACAGGTCTGGGTGCACCCATCTCAGCTCTCCCCGGGTCTCCTGCAGGGGTCTCGTCACTGGTCACAGGTCACAGGACAGCCCCAACCACTGGAGCCCACTGGCCAGCCCATCTTTGTTTTCTCATGACAGATGATTTAGCAGTCAGCTCTCTTTGTTTTAATGCCAAAAAGCACCTGGACTGGCTCACTCCAAATCACGTACAGGTGGTGATGCAGGTGGGTCCCTGGCCCTGCCAGGACTCGCCTCTATCTTCTCTCTGTGTTGACTTTATTACTTTTTTCTTTTCCTGGCCGGAAGGATGGTGACCAGCAGCTGGCAGATCCACACCTCCCATCTGCTTCGTACCAGGGGGTCTGAGTGTGAAAACCGGAGGGTTTTGTCCATAGGCTTAGGAGTCAGACTCCCTGCTGTATTGACTGCCCAGTGCACATTTAGGATTTCTCAGGGCTCCAAAGCCCAGGTGTAGAGACAGGGCTGGTGTTCAGGACCTGCTTGAAGTAAGGCTGAGGTCTATGAAGTGTGCTGCAATACCCCTTGGTATCCCAGGCCAGCCCCCAGATACTCTCCTCCCCTACTTCAGTGCATCAGAACAGCCGAGCTCCCCAGCAACTCCTGCTTGTGGGGTGAACTCCTGTCTTTGTACATTTGGCTCTCTTTGATCTGGCCCTTACTTACATACTCAACGCTGGTGAACAGGGTGGGTCCTTGCCGAGGCACTAGCTTTCTTTCTTAGGCCACATTGCAGCTGGCCGTGGCTCTGGACGTCCAGGGGGATCTTCAGGGCACACACAGCTCTGCATGCCATTCTTGCTGTCAAGAGTCTCCCAAGTTTGTGTCCCAGAAAAGTGATTTGTCCAGGCTCTGCTCAAGACTGCCTTCTCCAAGAAGCCTTCCCTGACTTCTTCAGCTCTTCTGGGCATTCCTGCAGTATTTGCTGTGTGTCCTGTGCCTGGGACATGTGTTGCTGTTTGTCCTTTAAAGTACAGACCACGTCTTGTGAACTAGACTGTGAACCCATGAAGGCAAAGATGCTCCATGGCATCTTTATAACCCCAAGAACTAGAACAGGCCCTTGACAGTGCTCATCCCCAAAGTGCTGCAACCATTAACTGCCCCAGCTGCTTGGAGGTCCTTCCCGCTGCCTGAGCTGTTCATGTTCCTTCAGATGCGTGAGGGACCTCTATGTCAGCATAATCTTGAATTGATTTAATTTCTGTAAACAAGGAAATTCTTTTTAAAAATATCTTTAACACACCTTACTGTTACTAAGGAAACTCGCAAGTTACCAAATGAATTGGGAATAATTTCCCTGCAGTGCGATAATAGAAGTATAAGGCCATTCTGACACCATGGCCGGTGTGGACTTAAGGCCATAATCAAGCTAAGTAGGGGTTTCCACTCAGCCTCCCATAACACAGTGAGTGCACTTCCACACCGACCCACAGTCCCTGAGGCAGGGGTGAGGGACAGTACTATGCAGGTGAGAAGTTGCCCTGTGACAGTGTCCTGTGCCAGGTTGAGTGCGTAACTCGTAGGAGGGCCCAGGTGCCCTGTCCAGACCAGAAGTGTGGACTGCACAGTTAGAAAAGATGAAGCACCAACCGGGACGCGTAGAGCTAAGGCATGGGAAGGTAGTTTCTCACCTGGGCTGTGCTGGGATACTGCCAGGAGCTCTTCTTTGTTCAGGGCCAAAGCTGGCTCCGCAGCACTGGCACAGTGTGCTGGGAGGAGACTGGGTTCTGTCTGGCCCGCGCTCTGCGGGATCCGTGCTGAGCTGTCTGTCCTTCTCCATGCAGGAGCACTGACAGGGTCTCCTAGAACAGCTGACAGGGTAGAGCTTTGGGAAGAGTAACTCTGCCCTCTACAGAAAACAGCCGAGAGGTTGGGTAGTGTCTTGAAGTGTCAAACAGGCTAGGTCCTGGGCCCAACCCCTGCCTCAGTCTTTCATTGAACAAATATTTATTGAGCATCTGCTATGTGGTATTCACTATCTGCTGTGAAGTGGGAATTCAGCAACAAGCCACACACCCAGCTCCCCCTTCCTTAGGACAGGCTCTCAGCAGTGGCACTGCTGACCTTTGGGGCGGGGTCACTCTCTGATATAGAGGCTGTTCTGTGCATCGTAGGATGTTGAGCACCGTCCCTAGACTCCACCACTAAGTAATACCTCTCGACCCAGGAGCCGCCCCCCTCATTCATCACAATAAAAATGTCTCTAGATGTTGCCACCCCCGCATTGAGAACCCTGCTTTAGAGAAACCAGAGTAGTCCCACTGTCACCCACTGCTATCTCTTGTTTATGGGGGTCTGCGTAAGATTTCTGCAATTTAGGGAGGAAGTGGATGGGATTTATAAAGAATTGCAGGTGCTACCCTGGCGGGTTGCTCAGTTGGTGGGAGTGTCGTCCCCTGCACCAAAGTGTCGCGGGTTCAATTTCCAATCGAGGCACATACCCAGATTTGGGGTTCAATCCCCGGTCAGGGTGTAAATGGGAGGTAACTGCTCATTGTTTCTCTCTGACATTGATGTTCTGCTCTCTTTCTCCCTTCCTCTCTCCAAAATCAGTAAAAACATACCCTGGGGTGAGGATTAGTTAAGAACAGGAAAGAACTGCAGGTGCCAGGCACGAGTCTGCACGTGTCCAGGGAGCTGGATGCACCGGGTCCAGCCCTCCTCGCTCCAGGAAGGAAGAGGGAGAGCACAGGAAGGCATGGACAGCTTGCCTGTGGGTCACAAAATGGTCAAGTTTTAGAAACTGTCCCCTTCTTATGAAAGGAATTCTACAGTTGTGGGATACAGCCCTTTACATTTTTTCATTCAGTCATTTAGTAATCATATTTTTAAATCTGTGTTTTTACAGATTTTTATTTGTCTACTTATCCTGTCCTTTATTAAGAGGGAAGACAAGAAAGTGGTTGCAGAGAAAATATTTGAAGGGCTATAGCTAAAAACTATCCAGCATGAGAAAGACACAAGCCTACCATTTTAAGAAGTCCAGGGAGTCGCTCACAGAGTAAGAGGAAGTCCATACATAGGTATGTTATAATGAAACCACAGCATACCAAGCAGAAAGAAAACCTTACAGGTAGCTAAAAGAAAAGTCAAATTACCTACAAAGGAGGAAGGTTTCCTTCTCCTTTATTGATTTTAGAGGGAGACGGAGAAAGAGATAGAAACATCGATGAGAGAGAACATCGATTGGCTGCCTCCTGAATGCCCCCCACTGGGGATCAGGCCCACAACCTGCACATGAGCCCTGACCAGGAATCGAATTGGTGACCCCTTGGTGCATGGGTCAATGCTCAACCACTGAGCCACACCAGCCGGGATTTTTTTTTTATTCTTGATATTTTCTCTGGTTATTGAAATCTAGAGAAAAATTTTATAAGTTGAGGATAAACTTGCCAGTTTGGGAGGAACCTAGGCTTTGTCTGAGCCTTTGAAAATAACTGAAGTTTGTCTCCCCCTCCCCCCAAAAGATGTGAAATGAGGAAGAAACAAACACCTTGGAGAATTTGAAAAGCACCTGAGCTGAACTCCACATAGCCCCAAAGCCCCTAACCAAAGGTATGCCCTGCCTGTGACAGTCACCTGGCCCCACCTGGCCAGCTTTCTCGGACGCACTGGGCTGAGAGCTGAGACACTCTGACCTTACTGCTGCATGGTTCTCTACACTTCCACGTGCTTTATTTTATCTTCGCCTCAACCCAATGAGAAAAGTAGAGCAGGTATTATTTTTCTGATCTCTCAGATGAGGAAGCCCAGACACTGAAAGTTGAAACACCTTCCAGTGGTAAAGTTCTGTGCCCTGCCCAGTGGGCCGGGGTGGGCAGTGTCAGAGGGAAGAGCGGGTGCAGGTGCTCCCTCCACCGCCGCGGTGCGTGGAAGTGGGATCAGTACTCAAGATCTATGCTTAGCTGTTTTTTTAATAGACTGTATTTAAAAATTTATTTAAATTATAGTTGACATTCAGTATTATTTTAATTACAGGTGGTCAGCATAATAGGCTGCTGTTCTAGGCTCACAGCAACACTGAGCAGGAAGTGCATATGTAACGCGCGTCCTCCATGCTTCGTTGCAATCAGCGAGCCTACGTTATCTCCCAGAGCCCCTGGTTCACCTCAGGGTTCCCTTGTGGTGGCGTATTACCCATGGATTTTGACAAATGTATAATGACATATATTCACCATTATACAACTATCTTTTTATAAGACTTTAACCCAGATTTTTAAAACTTTTCCTTATAGAGAACTTCAAGCATACACAAGTAGAGAGAATAATTTAGTGGACCTCTGTGTTCCTGTTACTCAGCCTCAGTAAATAACACATAGTCAATACTGTTTTCATTCAAACACCTCTCCTGCTTCCCGAATTACTTTGAAGCAGATTCTCGCCATCCTATTTCATATTTAAATATTCTTATATGCAATTCTAAAAGACATTGAATATTTTATTAACACTAATATCATTATCACACCTGAAATTAATTAAGATTGATGTTTTGCAATAGTCTCATGTCATAAATGTATTTTTATTTATTAATTATTTATCCTCACCCAAGGACATTTTTTTCCATTTTTGTTCAGATAGAGTGGGAGGGAGAGAGAGGAAGAGAGAGAGAGAGAGAAACATCGACATGAAAGGGACACATCAAGTGGCTGCCACCCGTACGACCAACCAGGGCCACAGACAAACTGCAACCGAGGTACATGCCCTTAGCGGGAACCGAACCCGGGTCTCTCTGGACCGCAGGCCGACGCTTTAACCGCTGAGCCAAACTGGCCAGGGCTAAATGTGTTCTTATTTTTGCAGCTTGTTTGAATCAGGATCAGTTGACAGGATTAAAATTTTTCTTTTAATCTATAGTTTCGCCCTCCATCCTGTGCTCAATAAAAGTTAGCTGCTCAGAGTTTTCTATACATGAAGTCAACATGTCTTATGGTTTAGTATAGAAAGACTGATAGTGAATCCCGTCCAGTCCTGGTTCCAGGCCCCCTTGTCCATGCTCTTTGGTCTCCTTCATTCCTTGGGGACAGCTTGCCTCTTTCCATCACCCCTAACCAACCACTACTGTTCCTTTTTCTGAGTCTCTGATTTCTTTAAAATATTTCTTCTATTATTCAAGCTATTCTTTTATTATTATCATTATTATTATTTAAATTGTTCCTTGGGGTTCTTAAAATCCCCCTGTGCAGAACCGAAGTGTTGGAATCTAAGTTTTTAGTTAATAGACAGATCCATTGTTGTGAAAATGGAAACAGAGGCAGTCTATGAATAAACATTTCTTCTGTGAACTTAACCCCAGGCCATGGTGGAAACTGTCCCTGAAAGCTTTGGTGCCCTCAGCGAGACACCAGGATTAGAGACCCAGTGAATCGGGCAGCACCTGCGTGGACAAGTGCACACAGCAGCCAGCCAGGAGGACTCAATGTGCTGATAACTGGCTAGGCAGATAAGAAACAAAGATGATTTGAACCCAGGTTTCTTCTTCTTTTTTCTTTTAAATCCCCACTTGAGGATCCTTTTCCATTAATATTCAGATAGAGTGTGAGGGAGAGAAAGAGAGAAAAACATTGATGTGAGAGAGACACATTGATTGGTTGCCTCCCGCACAACCCCGACCAGGGCCGGGGACCAAAATGCTACCGAGGTACGTGCCCTTGTCCAGAATTGAACCCGCCACTCCTTTGGTCTATGGGCTGACGCTGCGAACATTAAGCCACACCAGCCAGGGTTAAACCCAGGTTTCTATCAGGGCTGAATTCCATTCTGCTCCATCAGCCAGGATCAACAATAAACAGTGAAAACCCCCTGTGGGAAAGTATCCATACAGCTGGCCAAATTGATAGTTACACACCATTGATCTGAATGAACCAAAGTCAGTTCAGATATACTCAAAACTTGAAAAGTTTTATGGTTCTGCACTCTTCTGTCCTTCCCAGGGGAATGGGGACAGCTAGCTTGAAATCAAGGCATGAGTGAAACCCTCTCTTTCTCTGCAGGTGGTGACTTTCGATGCAGGGGGAGTCAGTGGTCACAGCAATCATGTCGCCCTGTACACGGCTGTGAGGTACGCTTCTCTGAGTGATGGAGGTGCAGAGGTTTTTTCATTGCCCAGGGTGGACGGTTCCCCAAGCGCAGTCCTGCTCGTTGTGTGAGCCCCATGGACCTTAAACATAGCAGGAGAGCCAGTGCTGGCCATGTTACTCATTACATCTCACCACATTCTCCCTGTGAGAAATCTCTGAGTCTTCATTATTGTTTCATGTCCTAAACAGCTGAGTTGGTTTTCTTGACCCCACGGGTACAGCGAAGGGGCACTGACTGATGTAATTTCTCTGCGCTTTGGCCACATAAAGCTTTCGAGCCAACTCTGCGGCCCTTGGAAGTACATGAGATCTTAGGACTGAGCTCTGTGAGCCTGTGCCTCCCGCTCCGGCTTTTCTCCTCCCCTTATTCTCGTTTATTTTGTTATCATCTGTTGCAGATGCATATATATATTTTTTAATCCTCACCTGAGGATATAATTTTATTGATTTGTGTAGAGAGCAGAAGGGAGAGAGAGAGAGACATCAAGGTGAGAAACATGTATCAGTTGCCTCTTGTATGCACCCGACCAGGGATCAAACCCACAACCTAAGTATGTGCCCTGAATGGGTACTGAACCCACAACCTTTTGGTTCACAGGATGACACTCCAGCCAACAGAGCCTGCCAGCCAGGGCTGTTGTATGTTTTATACGCTATCTCAAACCTTTCTTTGGAGGAGGACATATACACATAATAGAAATCTCATTTGTACTTCACAGCCACCCATTTTACTGGTATGTATCTGTATTATACCGGTGAAAAGAATTGAGCCTCGAAGATGTTAGTGTCTGCCTCCGGGTCTTGCAAGCACATCATGTCGCCCATCCTGTAGAGAAGCGATTCCCGTGGGCACAGGAGCAGCGGGACCTGGCCCGGGTACTAAGGAAGGAGAAGGGGCAACTTGAAGTGAAGGACTTAGCTTAGTACCTTCTAAAGCTGCCCAGCATCCTCAGACTGGAGCAGGGGAATATGGAGGTAGAAATGGCCTTGCCTGTCATGACATCCCACCCTTTCACTTGAACCAGGCCAAGAGGTGGTGTGTCCAGCATGGCCAGGCTGAGTGACGGCAGAGCAGCACCAGAACCAGAGCCCAGTTCTCCATTTATTACTTGTCTGCACCTGTGAAGACCCATCCAGTATTGGGCCCTCCCAGCTTTGTGCCTAAATTGTGCTCCAGCTACTGGAAGAGGCTATATATTGTTCCCCACAGTCTTTCCACACGGTTCCACCTGCTTCCTTGCTGGAAGGAGGGCAGGCAGGAATGCTCCCCCTCCTATGAAGACTGTCCACGTCCTGTCCCCACCACACTTGTAGAGAAGGCAAGAAATTGCATCAGGCCTCTTCAGGCTCAGGAAAGACACATCCCCTGGTTACAGGCAGACATGCAATTTTTTGTGAAGATACGTGGGAAAATGAGGGAGCCCAGGAATGGTCTTTCCAACCAACCACGTGGTCACTCTGAGGCTTTGGGCTTCCAAGACTGGAGTGAACAGTCAGCTCCATGGAGAACCGACATAGCGGCTCCACCTCATTCCGGAGGAAAGAGCAGATTGGGTCTGTTGCAAACCAGCACCTGGACAGACAGAGATGCAGGGCACTTAGGCTGATTTGGGTGGTTCCCTCCTTGGCCCCACCACTGAAGTGGGGAAGGGGGAAGGTTTTCATCCAGGCAAAGAACCCCAGGGGACAGCAGACAGAACTGTCTGGGGCCATTTTCCTTGGAAGAGGCTCTAGTGCCACAGGCTTTTAACACTTCTGGTTCTCAGGAGGTCACCAGTTCTATTCCCAGTCAGGGCACATGCCCAGGTTGTGGGCCAAGTCCCCAGTGTGGGGCAAGTCCCCAGGAGGCAGGCAAATCAACGTTCTCTCTCATCGATGTTTCTATCTCTCCATCTCCCTTCCTCTCTCTAAAATCAATAAAGAAAAAAAAATTTCTGGTCCTCTCTGCACTGAGCAGGGTTACTGGCAATGGATTGATATGCCTAAGTTTTTTGAAAATGATCTTACAGCAGTCCCTGTGCCCCCACAGGGGCATTCCTGGGGGGGTTCACAGTTGTCAGTTTCTCCCTCGCCCCTGAGAAAAGTCTTCCTGCACCAGCATCTTACACTGTTTCCCAGAAAGCTATTCAGTTCTTCCCGCACATTTGAACTCCCCATGCCCATGTGCTTTTTCCTCAGATGTGACGTAGATTAGGAACTTTTCTCAGAAAGTTCCCTGACTGCTGCACCACAGCTGTTTGGGGGCTCAGCCTTGCCCCATGCAGAAGCAGACACTTGCTCCTGTGGTTTGATCCTGGGCTCTTCATCCACTCAGCCCTGACTGCTGCTGGGTGCTCGTGCTCAGATTCCCTCTCGCGGCACTTGTTCCTTGTCCCCCTCCTCCCCCAGTGTGCCCCGTACCTCCACCTGTCAGTTATGTCCTTCCCGTGTCTGAGACCAGGGTGGCCTGCAGCTTTCCCCAGCAGCGAAATCCACCTGCGCTCAGCGTCCTGTCGGGGGAAGGCTCGCGAGGACTTCCTGCATCCTTGCTGCACAGGCACAGTCAGAAAGAGGGGTGACATCCAGGGCTGCACCGCTCCTCAGAGACAAGGAGAAACGAGAACCAGATCTCCCTCCTTTCCAGTGCTCTGAAGGGCACCTCGCTGCCGCTTTCCATCAGTAACTAGGCCTGGTGAATGGGAGTCCATGGCTTGACCTTAGAAGTCTTACTTTTGTCTCCAAAAGATGAGAATATTCACACCTTACCTGTCAGTTGTTCTGAGGAGATGAAACAAGATGTTAATACAAAGCATCTAACAGAACAGCATCCTTAGGGAATCAGTACAGTCTTCTTCCAGTCATCTCCTGTGCCTCAGGCCCTTCCTTTGTATTCTTCTAGCCGTAGGTGGTTGCTGGTGGAAGCTGTCAGAAAAACCAAGGAAACTTCATAGACGGAGGGAGGCCCTGGGGAAGGGGACCCCTGGCCGCTATGTGAATTGCAAGAGCACTTCCTAGACCGGCAGCCCCAGGCTGGCATCCACCCCCGGCACAAAGCAGTGTCCTAGCTGCACAGCAGGCTCAGCTGCCCAGGGCCCATCCTGAGGGCAGACCCCGAGTCTCCATTCCATCTGCGGCTCTGCTCCCATGGGCCTCAGTGCTCCCCTCTGCTCATCACCTGAGGCTTCCCCTGAGCCCCTTCAGTTCCAAGAGAAATGCCAAGGGGACAGCACTGTCTTCTGAGCCGCCCTCCCTTCCCGCTCTGGGCCTTGGCTCCATCAGTGGCCGGGGGCCCCCCTCAGTGTGCGCAGGCCCCTGTCTCAGGAACTAATGCACATGAACGATGCAATAATGGACAACGACGTGTGATCTTGTGCCCAGAGAAGGCCTCAAGCTTCTCTGAGCAGAGGACCATTCCCCTCCATTCCGTCCTTCCTTCCCTCTGTGCCTGCCTGCCTTCCACTCCCTCCAACCCACTAAAATGGTCTCCTCAGTCACCCCTGGCTGCTAAATTCCCCAGGTGTATTTCAGTCCTCCTGTCTTGACCTTTTTGTGGCATCTGACCCTGCCTGTCACTCACTGAAATGCTGCTGTGACCTGCCTCAAACCAGCTTGTCCTCTGTCCTCTGACCCCTCTGCTGCTTCTCAGCCTCGTCCTGGCTTCCTTCCACCAGAGGCCTCGGTGTTCCTGTCCCCACCGCTCCCTCCCCGGCACTGGCTCCCTTCAGTGCGGATTCCTCAGGGCCTCGGAGGGTCTCAGCGCCGGGGTGTATCTCCAGTGCTCACCTTTCTCCTTAACTCAGATCCTGCGTTCCCAACTCTCTGCTTGGGGATGTGACCACCCCAAACCCAGAATATCCCCAGGGCTCTATCCAGACTGCAGGACAAGTCACCTCTGTTCTGGGGATCCCAGCGACCTTCTCAGATGTTCCTATTTCCCAGGGCTCTGCTGGGGAGTCAGGCTCATGGTCCATCCATTCTCTCCCCACTTCTCTTCCTTAACCTCTGCTCCCAAGAATCCATTTCTTTTTTTAATATGTTTTTATTGACTTTTTTTTAGAGAGAGAGAGATAGAAACATAAATGTGAGAAAGAAACATCCATTGACTGCCCCCCTGAGACATTCCACGGGATTGAGTGCAAACCCAGGCATGCGCTCTGACCGGGAATAATCAGGGACCTCTCAGCCCATGGGATGGTGCTCAATCCACTGAGCCACACAGCCAGGCCCAGGAATCCCTTTCCATATGCATATTTGGGTCTGGGTATTGGGGACGACCTACCTCATCCTCCATCCCTCAGCTTTGAAAACAAAGTGCACAAGAGATTCAGCTCTCCTGGCTGGTGGACCCGCCACCCTCCTCCTCTGAAGGCAGGAGACACAACAGCTTCACGGTCAGAGGTGGGGGTGGGGCAGTCAGCAAGGGGAGCGGAACTAATAGGGAAGAAATGTCAGTGTTTGAAAATCTTCTCCCGCCATACTCACAATTTCAAAAGGAAAAACCGTGAAGGGTCCACTGCAGCTGCCTTCACCTCTAATGGGCGAAGCCTGAACCAGGCTCTTCATGAGCCAGTGGCCAGCCTCCAGTTTGGGCCTGCCTGTCCTTGGGTAAGGTACCCACACGGTCCCTTCAGCTGTAGCCAGAGGTATGGAATCCCATAAACCTATGAGGCAATTTATGCCAAAGAAACTACTTAGAAACTCACCTAGGGGGACAGTAGGGTGGCAGGCCCTCCTCTGGGGGCCCCTCCGGTGAACTGCAGAGGAGATCTCACTGGCTCTCACTCATGTCCTCTCCCTCCTGCAGGACCCTACACTCAGAAGGGAAGTTACCCGAAGGTAAGTCCTGTCCCATTTGCAAAAGGCCACTAAATAAGGTAAAGCCAGGTCCCTCTAGGAAACGTATTAGTGTGAAATTTGTAAATATGTGTGCAGACAGCTGCCCTAGGCCCAGCAGAGCTGGGGTGGGGGGTGGGGAAGACGGGCCACCCTCTTCCTGACTTGGCTCAGTGTTTCTGTCAGTGCCGGTCCCCAGGTCTCACAACCAGGTTGTATCCACGGAGAAGTGCCCAGCCCTCCAGGCAGCCTCCAGATGCTGATGGGAGACTGACTGAGGGTGTTAGTCAGGCTTCTCCAGAGACACAGACCCAGTAGGAGAGTATGTATATTGATGTATTATAAGGACTTGGCTCGTGCAGTTATGGAGGCTGAGAAGTCCCACGACCTGCCCTCTGCAAGCTAGAGACCCAGGGGAGCTGGAGGCGTCATTCCACGGGAGTCCAAAGGCCTGAGCAGCAGGGGAGCCGTGGATGGAAATCCCAGTCTGAGGGCAGGAGATGACCAACATCTCCGCTCCATCCGGAGAACAGGAGTCTCCCTGCCTCTGCCTTTTGTTCTGTTCAGCCCCTGGCATGGGTGCTGATGCCCACCCACTGGGGAGGACAGTCTGCTGCACTGGCCCCGTGCTAACCCTAGCCCCTCACAGGCTCTCCCAGAAACCATGTGTAGTCAGACAGCTGGGCCACTTGGGTGTAGTTGACACAAAAGCCGCAACGGGCCTTTCCCACTCGCCTGTCTAGCTTCTCACGGGGTCGGTGTTCTCTCAGTCTGGCTGCCCTACGTCTCTTCCCATCCCACAGCTAGTTAGCAGGTTGTAAAGCTCTGATGGGTGCTTGAAGGGTTAAACTGCTTGAGTTAAACACTCTTCCTAAGTCAGAGGATGATGTGCTACCCACTTGCCCATCTGCTGTGTGACAGTGATGCTTGAGCTCTGTGGGCTCGTTGCTGCAATGGGGATGACGTGCATCCTTCCCAGGATGCTATGGAGATGGAAGATATGAAAACAGAAGTAGTGCGTGCCCTTTCCGAGCGGGCTTATGAGCTTACCAAGCTGTGAGGTCTTTGGAACATGACTACAGTTTATTTGATTCTTATAGATCACCCTTGTGAGACAGGCAGGTCCCACACTATCAACACCATTTTACAGATGAGAAAACGGAGCCTCAGAGAGGTTAAGGGACTTTCCCAAGTCTGTCAATTCTTTGGGGTCCGAGCAGGAACCAGGTCTGTGGCCTCCCCATTCAGAAATTCCTGTCTCTATTTCCTTTCCCTTGGCCCTGAGGTAGCCAATCCAACCTCTAGCAAACAAGCTTTTCCTCCTGGGACTGTAGCCGGCAGAGGGCAGCAGCCAGGTGTCCTTCGCCCTTTCCCTCCTCTTGCCTGTGAGAAAGGTAGACAAAGAGCAGCTTTGGTGCCCACGAACAACTCCCAGGCTACCACCCTGTCCTGAGCCCCTAGGGACAGGTAGGGTGCTCTGGGGAACATCTGTCCTGAAGCAACAACACTCTGACCTCTGCCCCTGTCTTTTCTTCCCCCAGGGTGCACAGTGCTCACGCTGCAGTCTGTGAATGTGCTGCGCAAGTACCTCTCCCTCCTGGACCTGCCCTGCTCTCTGCTTCAGGCCCGCGATGTCCTCTTCGTGCTCACCAGCAAGGAAGTGACACAGGCCAAGGTGAGCGCTGCCGCTTCCCCTGCACCCCAACTCCAGATCTGTGCCCCAGACTCTGGGCTCCTCAAAACCCTGGCTCTGCAGGGTCCCTCACCAAAGACCTCCCACAAAAGTTCAGCCTCTGTCCCTGAGTGTTAGTGCTGCTGCTAGATTTTCAAGAACTACCTGTTTTTTCTGATTATAGAAATTATGCATGCTAAAAAAGTAAATAATAACCATGTTCATTGTAGAAAATCAGGAAATACATAACAACATCAAAAAAAAGAAAATGAAAAGAATAAAATTACCTGAAATCTCACCCTCAGATGTAATCTTGTTAATATGTTGGACTATATCTTCCATATAAAGAGTATTATATAAATAATTGTATATAAGAATATACTTATTCTTACATCTTTTAATGGGATTACAGAACCTTCTATTTAAAACCTGCTTTAACAACATATGACCATTTTCTCCTATGTCATTTGAATTATAATGGCCACCTGTGTTCCAATGTATGGATCTACCATAAATATACATCACAAATTCCTTCTTTAACGGGCATTTCGGTTTACCGGTTTTTCACTGTTGTACATGGAGCAGTGCTCCCAGTTCGAGTCTCAGGAATTCAGACCGGCCAGGAGCCTCTGTAAAGAGCTGGTGGGGCAAACCACTGTTTGCCTCCTGAGGAAGAGCCGGGCCCAGTGAGACCCTGCGGAGAAAGCTCTTCGCTACTCTCTGGGCACGTGATTCTAAGGACACTGCCTTGGGGAGAGGGCAGGCTGAGGAGACTCGCTCCAGTCTGTCTCCAGGTGCAGCCCGTCGATGTAAGTCCACCAGGGAGGGAAGGCCAGCGATGAGTGAAACTGAGAGAACTTAACGATGTGTTTGCGGGTGGGAAGGTGGCTTAGCTTAATTTTCTAAATTGTCTGCGATAAACCTTGACTTACTCGCAGGCACTTTGCTGGATTCTCAGGTTGCATTGTTGATCTGAAACAGTAATTCTTTTTTTTTCTCTGATAGTTCATTAATTTCTGTTTTACTTTATTCATATTTTACTTTTTTCTTCAATTGTTTTTTTTACTTAAAGGTTACCTTTTTCCATCTTTAATCTTTTAAAAAGTACACCTTAATACTATTAACTTCCCTTGAAGTATTCTTTTAGCTGCATCTGATAACTTTTGATACATAGTTTTTCTATTGTCATTCAGTTATAAGTACTTTAGAGTTTCCACTGTGAGTTCCTTTTTAATCCATAAGGTTTATTTTTTATTTAATTTATTGGGGTAACATTGGTCAATAAGATCATATAGGTTTCAAATGCACCTTTCTTTGACACATGATCTGTATATTGCATTGTGTGCCCACCACCCAAAGGCAAATCATCTTCTGTCACCATATATTTGGCCCCGTTTACCCTTTACTACCTCCCCATCCCCTTCCCTCTGGTAACCACTATACTGTTGTCTGTCTTTATGAGTTTTTGTATATCCCACATATGAGTGAAGACATATGGTTCTTATCTTTTTCTGACTAACTTATTTTGCTTAGCATAATATTCTCAAGGTCCATCCATGTTGTCACAAAAGGCAGTATTTCATCTTTTTTATGGCTGAGTAGTATTCCGCTGTGTATATGTACCACATCTTCTTTATCCAATCTTCTATCAAAGGACACTCTAGTTGTCTTCATGTCTTAGCCACCATGAATAATGCTGCATTGAACATAGGGGTGCATATATCTTTGCAAATAAATGTTTTCAAGTTTTTCTGGGAGATAATGAAGAGCGGGGTTACTGGGTCATATGGTAACTCTATTCTTAATTTTTTGTGGAACCACCATACTGTTTTCTATAGTGGCTGTACCAGGTTACATTCCCACCAGCAGTGAATGGGGGTTCCTTTTTCTCTACAACCGCTCCAACAGTTATTATTTGTCTTCTTGATAACAGCTACATTGACAGGTGTGAGGTGGTATCTCATATATGTTAGCCATTTATGTGTTCTTCTTGGGAGAAGTGTCCAGGCTCTCTGCCCATTTTTTCCCCCATTTTTTGTTCAGATAGAGTGGGAGGGAGAGAGAGGAAGAGAGAGAGAGAGAGAGAGAGAGAGGGAGAGAGAGAAAGAGAGAGAAACATCCATGTGAAGGGGACACATCGAGTGGCTGCCACCTGCATGACCAACCAGGGCCAGGGACAAACTGCAACCGAGGTACGCGCCCTTAGTGGGAACCGAACCCAGGTTTCTCTGGACCACAGGCCAACACTCTAACTGCTGAGCCAAACCGGCTAGGGCACCTCTGCCCATTTTTTAATTGGATTGTTTGTTTGTTTGGTGTTGAGTTGTTTGAGTTCTTTATATATTTTGGATATTAAGCCCTTGTGGGAGCTGTAGTTTGCCTTCTTGTTTCAGCTCTCACACTGTAAAAAAGTGTCCTTTCCATGGAATATTCATGCCACATTGTTCTCACATTTGTGCTTTTTATTGGTGAGGTTGCTCTTTAAACTGGGCTCTGGGTGCTGAAGTGCTGTGCAGGGGTCCTCAGCACGAGGTCTGTGACGTGCCTTACAAAGAAAACACGGGTTTGGTGAGCCTCATTCACACGGAGGTGCAGTGCTGTTGGCCGGAAATTCAGTATTAACCAATCAATAATTTAATATTAAATAAGGTGTGTTTTAAACAGAAACATACACAGAACAAGGTTATGTATCAATATGTTGATAAAAATGATGTGACCAGAGGCTCCCAGGAACCCAAACCTTTACTTCCTCTGGGTTCACTTTTCATTTTGCTGATGCATATTCATTATTATTATTATTGTTGCTGTTATTATTTTATCCTTACTTGAGGACATTTTTGCATTTATCTTCTGATAGAGCAAGAGGAAGAGAGAGAGAAACATTGATGTGAGAGAGATATATAGATTGGTTGCCACCCGTACAACCCCAAGTAGGGCCGGGGACAAACCGAAACCGAGGTACATGCCCTTGGCCGGAATCGAACCCGGAACTCTCTGGTCTGCGGGCCAGTGGTCTAACTGCTGAGCCAAACCGGCCAGGGCTATTATTATTATTTTTTAATTAATTTATTTTTGTTACACATTTCCTTGTTCCCCCTATTGACACCCTCCTCTCAACCTCCCTCCCCCCAGTATTATTGTCTGTGTCTTTGTTTACACATACATGCATAAAAGTTCTGTGGTTTCTCTTCCCTCCCCAACATCCACCTCTTCTAAGGTTTGTTAGTCTGCACCCCACTTCCATGTCTCTGGGTCTATTTTGTTCCTCAGTTGTTTTTTCATTCTATTCCACAGATAAGTGAGATCATGTGATATTTGTCTTTTGCTAATTGGCTTGTTTTGCTTAGCATAATACTTTCCAGGTCCCTCCATGTCATCTCAAAGGATAAGAGATCTTTCTTTCTTACAGCTGCATAGAATTCCATTGTGTATATGTACCACAGCTTTTTTATCTACTCATCTATTGATGGACACTTGGGCTGTTTCCAGATATCAGCAATTGTAAATAGTGCTGATATGAACATGGGGGTACATATATTCTTTCTGACTGATGTTTCAGTCTTCTTAGGGTATATTCCTAGAAGTGGGATCACTGGGTCAAATGGCAGTTCAATTATTAATTTTTTGAGGAAACACCATATTGTTTTCCATACTGGCTGCACCAGTCTGCATTCCCACCAGCATTACTAGGGTCCCCCTTTCTCCACACCCTCGCCAGCACTTGTTGTTTGATGATTTGTTGATGGCAGCCATTCTGACAGGTGTGGGGTGATACCTCATAGTTTTAATTTGCATCTCTCTGATGGTTAGTGATGTTGAGCATTTTTTTATATGTCTCTTGGCCATTTGTATGTCCTGTTTGGAGAAGTGTCTATTTAGGTCCTCTGCCCATTTTTTATTTGGATTCTTTGTCTTCCTCTTGTTGAGTTGTGTGGGTACTGTCTATATTTTGGAAATTAGCCCCTTATCTGACCTATCGTTGGCAATTATATTCTTCCATATAATGGGTTCTCTTTCCATTTTGATAGTTGTTTCTTTTGCTGTGCAGAAGGTTTTTAGTTTGATGTAGTCCCATGTGTTCATTTTTTTCTGTTTCTATTGCTTTAGGTGTTGTATCAGTGAACATTCTGCTGCATGTGATGTCTGAGATTTTGTTGCCTACATTTTCTTCTAGGATATTTATGGATTCATTAATCACATTTAAGTCTTTTACCTATTTTGAGTGTATGATGTAAGGTGGTGGTCTAGCTTCATTTTTTTGCACGCAGCTTTTCAATTTTCCCAATACTATTTATTTATTTATTTATTTAATCCTCACCCGAGGACACTTTTGCATTTATCTTCAGATAGAGCAAGAGGGAGGAAGAGAGAGAAACATCGACGTGAGAGAGACACATCAACTGGTTGTCACCTGTACAACCCCAACTGGGGCCAGGGACAAACCGAAACCCAGGTACATGCCCTTAGCGGCAACCAGACCCAGGACTCCCTGGTCTGCAGGCCAACATTCTAACCTCTGAGACAAACCAGCCAGGGCCCAACATCATTTCTTATAGAGGCCATCTTGACTCCACTGTATGCTCCTGCCACCTTTGTCAAATATTAATTGAGCATAATGTTTTGGGTCAATTTCTGGGTTCTCTGTCCTGTTCCATTGATCTGTATGCCTGTTCTTGTGATAGTACCATGCTGTTTTGATTACTATGGCTTTGTAGTATAACCTGATATTTGGTATTATGATCCCTCCTACTTTGTTCTTCTTTTTCAAGATTGCTGTAGCTATTCAGGGTCTTTTTTGGTTCCATATAGACTTTAGCAGTAATTGTTCTAGTTCTGTGAAATATGTTGTTGGTATTTTAATGGGGATTGCATTGAATCTATATATTGTTTTGGGTAGTATGGACATTTTAATGATGTTAATTCTTCCAATCCATGAACAAGGTATATGCTTCCACTTTTATATATCTTCCTCTATTTCTTTTTTTAGTGACCTGTAGTTTTCTCTGAATAGGTCCTTTAATTCTTTGGTTAAGTTTATTCCTAAGTATCTTAAATTTTTTTTTGCCTCAGTGGTAAATGGAGTTGCTTTTTCTTTCATTGAGTTTGTTGTTGGTGTGTAAGAATGCCATAGATTTCTTGACGTTAATTTTGTATCCTGCTACTTTGCCATATTCATTTTTTAAATCAAGTAGATTTTTGATGGCGTCTTTAGAGTTTTCTGTGTACAGTATCATGTCTTCTGCAAATAATGACAGTTTCACTTTCTCCTTTCCAAATTAGATTTCTTTTATGTTTTTTTCATGTCTAATAGCTGTGGCTAAGACTTCCAGTATTATGTTAAATAAGAGTGTTGAAAGTGGGCATCCCTGTCTGGTTCCTGTTTTTAAGGAAAATGCTTGTAGTTTTTGCCCATTGAGTATGATGTTGTCTGTAGGGTTTTCATATATTGCCTTTATTATGTCAAGCTATGATCCTCTATTCCCACATTGCTGAGCATTCTTATAAAAAGAAAAATGGGTGCTGGATTATGTCAAATGCTTTTTTAGCATCTATTGATATAATCATATGGTTTTTATGTTTTTTTTTTTTATGTGGTGTATCACATTTATTGATATGCGGATTTTGTACCATCCTTGTATCCCTGGAATGAATCCCACTTGCTCATGATGAATAATTTTTTTGATGTATTGCTGGATCCAATTTGCTAATATTTTGTTAAGGATTTTGGCACCTGTGTTCATCAGGGATATTGGCCTGTCGTTTTCTTTTTTTGTAATGTATTTATCTGGTTTTGGAATTAGAATTATGTTGGCCTTATAGAATGAGTTTGGAATTCTTCCTTCTTCTTGGATTTTTTGGAATAGTTTGAGAAGAATTGGTGTTAGATCTTTCAGTGTTCGGTAAAACTTCCCCATGATGCCTCAGGGCCTGGGCTTTTGTTTGCTGGGAGTTTCTTGATTACATCTTCAATTTTCTTAGTTGTTATTGGTCTATTCACATTTTCTATCTCTTCTTGGTTCAGTTTTGGGAGACTGTGTGTTTCTAGAAATTTGTCCATTTCACCTAGATTGTCCAATTTGTTGGTGTATGATTGTTCATAGTATGTTTTAAAGATTCTTTGTATTTCTGTGGTGTCAGTTGTTAATTCTCTTTCATTTCTGATTTTGTTTATTTGGGTCTTCTCTTTTTGACTCTTAGTGAGTTTGATAAGGGTCCATCAATCTTATTTATTTTTTCAAAGCACTAGCTCTGATGCATATTCTTTAGTGAGGGTCTAAGGAAGGTAAATTAGCTTAACCTTTAAAAAGTTGCCTGGTTTGGCAACTGGCCCGCCCTGGCTGGTTTGACTTAGCGGTTAGACCATCGGCCTGTGGTTCAGAGAGACCTGGGTTTGGTTCCTGCTAAGGGCATGTACCTTGGTTGCAGTTTGTCCCTGGCCCTGGTTGGGTCATGCAGGTGGCAACCACTCGATGTGTTCCTTTCACGTCGATGTTTCTTTCTCCCTTTCTTCTTTCCACTCTATCTGAACAAAAAATGGAAAAATGGCCCTGGCCAGTTTGGCTCAGTGGTTGGAGCGTCAGCCTGCGGTCCAGAGAGACCCAGGTTCAGTTCCCGCTAAGGGCATGTACCTCAGTTGCAGTATGTCTCCGGCCCTGATTGGTCATGCGGGTGGCAGCCACTCGATGTGTCCCTTTCACATGGATGTTTCCCTTTCACATGGATGTTTCTTTCTCTCTCTCTCTCTCTCTCTCTCTCTCTCTCTCTCTCTCTCTTCCTCTCTCTCCCTCCTACTCTATCTGAACAAAAAATGGAAAAAAATGTCCTTGGGTGAGGATAAAAAAAGAAAAGAAAAAAAATTTGCCTGACCTATCTTTTGAATGATTTTGCTGGAAATAAGTTTGTTCATATTCCTTTCCCCTCAATGCCTGAAGATGTAACTCAACATCTTTATGTTTTGGCAGTGTCTATGGTGATGAGGAGCCTACCCTTGACTGAGAATGAACCCATGAACCTTGGGGTTGACGCTCTAATCACTGGGCCACAGCAGCCAGGCTATACCACAGCTTTTTGTTGTTGTTGTTCAGATAGAGTGGGAGAGAGAGAGAGAGAGAGAGAAACATCGATGTGAAAGGGACACATTGAGTGGTTGCCACCCTCACAACCCAACCAGGGCCAGGGACACACTGCAACCGAGGTACGTGCCCTTAGCGGGAACCAAACCCGGGTCTCTCTGGACCGTAGGCCGACACTCTAACCGCTGAGCCAAACTGGCCAGGGCGTCTTTTTTTTTTCTTTTTATATACTAGATATACCTATCTAGTTTTCCCAACACCATTTATTGAAGAGATTGTCTTTACTCCATTGTATGCTCTCCCTCCTGTGCCAGATATTAATTGACCATCAAGGTGTGGGTTTATTTTTGGGCTCTCTGTTGTGTTCATTGGACTGTATGACTGTTCTTTTGCCAGTGCTAGGCTGTTTTGATTACAATAGCCTTGTAGCACAGTTTGATATTTGATATTGTGATACCTCCAACTTTGTTCTTCTTTCTCAAGGTTGCTGTGCTTTTTCGGGGTCTTTTTTGGTTATATAAAAATTTTTGGAATATGTTTTCTAGTTCTGTAAAATATGCCATTGGTATTTTATTAGGAGTTGTGTTGAATCTATAGATTGCTTTGGGTAGTATGAACATTTTTATAAGGTTAATTTTTCTGATCCATGATCATGGTATATCCTTCCACTTGTTTGTATCTTCCTCTGTTTCTTTCTTCAATGCCCTGTAGTTTTCTGACTACAGGTCTTTTACCTCCTTGGTTAAATTTATTCTTAGGTACTTTATTTTTTGTGTTGTTGTTGCAATGGTAAATGCGGTTGTTTTCTCAGTTTCTCTTTCTGGGAGTTTATTATTGGTGTATAAAAATGCCATTGAGCCCTGGCCAGTTTGGCTCAGTGGTTGGAGCATGAGCCTGCGGTCCAGAGAGACCTGGGTTCGGTTCCTGCTAAGGGCATGTACCTCAGTTGCAGTTTGTTCCCGGCCCTGGTTGGGTTGTGCAGGTGGTGGCCACTCGATGTGTCCCTTTCACGTTGATGTTCTTCTCTCTCTCTCCCTCCCACTCTATCTGAACAAAAAATGAGAAAATGTCCTCGGGTGAGGATTAAAAAAAAAACGCCATTGATTTCTGGATATTGATTTTGTATCCTGCAACTTTGCCAAATTTATTTATTACATCTAATAGTTTTTTGGTGGAGAAACATTGATATAAGTTTGAAATTTTGGTCTGTTGCCTTCCACACACACCCCAACCAGGGATCAGACCTGCAATCTGGGTATGTGCCCTGACCAGAAATTGAACCTGCCACCACTTGGTGCAGGGGACAATGCTCCCACCAAACAAGCCACCTGGCCAGGGCTCTTTTAGTGTTTAAAACTTTTTATAAAATAATCATGTATTCCTTGTGTAATACAATATATTTATACTTACTCTGACTAATACATTTTATCTCTAGAATTTTATCCTAAAGAAATGAACAAAAGTATGTCCAGAGATTTATGTGTCAGAATGTTCATTACTATAATTGATGATAGCTAAAACAGGAACTAATAACAGCAGGGGAATGATACAATACTGTGTAATCAGTGAAATCATTGTTTGAAAGACATGTAATGAAAATGCTCTAAAGTGGGAAGAGGGGTTAGAAAAAATGTTGATATTTTGTAGTACTCCCTTGGAAAATTAAAAAAAAAAAAAACTAATAGAAAAAATAAAGTTTATAAAAAACCAAAATGGCAATAAATATATAATTCCTGTAAGTATCCATCTTATTAAATGGATGCTGAAAAGTCATTGAAAGATTAGGGGATCTGAATAAATTGGCCATTTGGGCAGCATTTTGTAGGAAATTCTTATAACTTGGAAACTATTATAAGCAGACAAATCAAGTATCTCTGGACTACAAAGTTCATCCCTTCACTCAAGTTTTTTTAAAATGAAGATTTTACTTTTACTATGGTCTTCAAGTTTTTGACACTATTTTGTGAGTTCATCCATTTTGTTTCTGCAAATACTTTTCATTAAAACTGTTAATTGCATTTCCTGTTGCTCTGTAATATTTTGCCTGACAATGTCTTATCATTCAGGTCAATTCCCTTTATCATTACAGCTTGTGGCTATCACAGGGGCACCAACGTCTTTACAGCCATGTATGTTCTGACAATAAATATAAAATGAGTTCTTTAGATAAAGGTTTGTAATGATGTTAGCTTAGAGAGGAAGATTAATTTTAGTAGAGAAAAATAGGTAGGAACTGTTTATATACAGTTAAGTCTGTTGTATGATGTATTCTGTTTAAAAACTGAACTGCACCAGACCTGAATAACAAGATAAACATTTCTTCCACTGGGTGGCAAAGAGAACCCATACCTATGTGAACCATTATTTTTTCTTCTCTACTAGCAGTTGTGCCTTCCCAGGCTACTGAATTCCGAGGAGTCGGAGCATGGTGTTCTAGCTCGCCCCCTGGAGAACATCTCTGTATGTGTTACATGTGTGAAGTATGGGAGCAAAGTGATTAAGAAAGAAGGCCCCAGAGTCAATCAGATGGCTCTGGGTTCAAATGTCAGCTCCACTACCTACTAGCTACCTGAGACTGATGTTGTGTCATCTGTGATTTTTAAGCAATAATAATAGTACTTAGTTCACTGGGTGGTTGAAGTTGAAATGATGCGTGGAGACTGAGTGCTGTAGCTGCCCTTAGCGTCATCTGCTCCTTCCACAGGGGAGTATGGAGAGCTGGGCGGGGAGGCAGCCATTGGAGGACAGTCCTGAGTTTCCCGGGTTACAGGGAAGCCAGATTAGGCTATAGCATGAGGTGAGTCATTGAGAGGAAGAAATAACTGAAATCCACAGAAACTGCTCCAGTGCAAGTGTTTTATAACGTACCCTCTGTGATTCCTGCAGAGAGCCATGTCCTGCCACCGCAGCCAGCTTCTCTGGTTCCGCCGGCTCTACGTGTTCTTCTCCCGGTACATGAGAATCAACTCTCTGCACTTCCTCTGAGGCCTGGACGCCCTTTCAGATCCAAGCAACAAGGAGAGAAAGGACCAGGAAGCCCGGGGCCTGCTCTGGAGCTGGCTAATCTCGCTGAGCCGCAGGAGATCCCAGTGGAGGGTGGCCCGCAGAACTCCACTCCTCAGTGCTGGTCAGCCCCAAGGAAAGGGAGGCCATGCAGGCCACGGACTATCTCACCTTCAGCGTCTTCCTCTGGGAAAAACCACAACAAACAAATCCAGACAAACCCAACGGTAATAGTAGTTACCCTGCCAGCTTCTTCAGTTCTTGTAAAAAACAATGTCCATCACGGCACAGTGTGTGTCAGACACCTAGCACGGAGCCGAAGGCAGCCAGCGTCGCTTCTTAGCGAGAAAGAGGGACTGGGGACCAGAATGAGGCTCAGATTTATAATGAACAGAAACACCTGTTGGGTGGAAGGGGAGCTGGGATCCTTGGATTTTCTGTTATTGGGGATTATTTGTCCTTTGTATCTCCCTGCTCTCTGGAACTCAAAGTCTAGACCACATTTAAAGAAAGAGAACATCTGACATCCTAAAGCTGGTTGTTTCCCCAATACTCTGGATCCAAAGCCAGAGAAATGGGACAGTGCTGCCCTCATGGCACAGATACCGAAGCACCCAGGAAATGCCCGTGTCTCACACATGTGGGCATCTCAGGCAAACCATCATCGTCTGCTGATCTGGGAGAAAGTTCTCTGTTGTTATGTCACTAAGTGGAACCACCCAAGGCCTTCTGTCAACTAGGCCAAGTGCAGAGCTGAAACTTGTGCCCAGAAGGTCACCAGTCATTCCCCCCAGTGGGGAGGAGGTTGGGAACCTTCAGTTGATCAGTCACTGACCCAGGTAGGGGCAGGTTTTATCACCAGGGCAAGATGAGTGGGGATCCCAGGCCTGGGAGTAGGGGAATCTGAAAGGATTTGTGAAAGACACCCACTCTACCTTGAGATTGGGGTGCACAGTGTGTCTATATCAACCCAGGGCCAGACACTCAGGTGGGTCCAGAGAGAAGAAAAGACAGAGGAGATGAAGGGTCATGTCCTCAGCTACATTTGGAGGTGTTTCCACAAGAGCTGTCACAGAGGAGTCAACAGAACAATGAGGAAGGTCTGGTCCGGTCATCTTGTTGCAGAAAAGAACCTCCATGGGGTGAAGTCACACAGCCCCGTTGGAGGCAGAGCTGAGACTGGACTTGGCTTCTGAATCCTCTCCCATCTCTGCTTCCCCTGCTCCTGCAGACGGCAGAGCAGGCTGGGACCTAAGAACCGCCCTTGGAAAAGGCCGAGAGTCAGGTGCAGAGTTCCCGGGGCTGAGGAGGCCTCACTGAGGAGCAGGAGGAGTGTGCTATGTGAAGACTGGTCCCTTGATTTTATTTTATTTTAATTTTTAATTAAATTTATTAGTCTGACTTTTGATTAATAGGATTATATATTTGAGGTGTGGATTTCTATGATACAAGATCTATGTATTACACTGTGAGCCCACCACCCGAAATGAAACCTTCTATCACCATATATCAGGCCCCCTTTACCTTCCCACCCCCTTCCCTTTGGCAAAAACCACATTGTTGTTTGTGTCCACGAGGTTCAGTTTTTGTTGTTTGTTTTTTTATCCTCACCCAAGGACATTTTTCCAATTTTTGTTTAGATAGAGTGGGAGGGAGAGAGAGAGAGAGAAACATCGACATGAAAGGGACACATTGAGTGGCTGCCATCCACACAACCCAACCAGGGCCGGGGACAAACTGCAACCAAGGTACGTGCCCTTAGCGAGAACCAAACCCGGGTCTCTCTGGACCGCAGGCTGATGCTCTAATGACTGAGCCAAACTGGCCAGGGCCATGAGGTTCAGTTTTATGTCCCAATGTGAGTGAAATCATATGGTTCTTAGCTTTTTCTAACTGGCTTACTTCACTTAGCATAATATTCTCAAGGTCTATCCATGCTGTCACAAATGGCAGTGTTTTGTCCGACTGGTGTGACTCAGTGGTTAAATATTGATCCATGCACCAAGAGGTCACTGGTTTGATTCCCAGTCAGAGCACATGCCTAGGTTGTGGGCCCCATTCATGGTGGGGAGCATGCAGGAGGCTGCCAATCAATGATCTCTCTCTTCGGTGTCACTATCTCTCTCCCTGTCCCTTTCTCTCTTAAACCAATAAAGAAAAATTATTTAAAAAACAAATGGCAGCATTTCATCTCTTCTTGAAGCTGAGTAGTGTTCCATAGTCTGTCGGTAGCACATTTTTATCCAGTCCTGTGTTGCAGGGCACACTGGCTGTCTCCATGTCTTGGCCACTGTGAATCATGCTGCAGTGGATCATATGGTAACTCTATTCTTAATTTTTTTGAGGAATCAAAGACTGGTCCCTTTATAAGGCTCAACCTAGACCATTGCCCCACTCAGATATGTGGGACACAGTAGGGTGTGGGCTCGGCATTTCCTGGTAAAAACCCATGCAAGTTCCAAGGGGCAGCACCTAGAACTTTCTTCTGTCCTAAACTTGAATGAAGCTGGGGGCCAGTGGAACATGTCATTACAGGACAGGAAACTTGGTATAGAAACTGGGTTTGTGGACATAAAGAGGATGGGGCTCTGAAGGAGTGTGGTCTGTTTACTCATCACCCACTGGTTCTGCAGATTTGTTCTGACAGCTGACAGGAACTCTCCTGCTGTTGATGAGCCCTTAAATGTGCCAGGCATCATGGTCCCTGCCATCTGACATTCCTCCCTGACCTTCATGGCCATGGATGTGAAGGTGCTGTTATCCTCATGCTGAGAGGAAATTGAGTGGTTAAGAGGCTAAGAAATCTTTCCACGTGTATGAGGCTAGCAGACAGCAAGGTCAGGAGATCGTCCCAGAAGAACCTGATTCAAAATCTCACTCTTCTAAATGTCTGGGGTCACTTCAGGGCCTGTTTTCTGGTGACTCAAGGTGCAGGATGGGAGACAGGATCACCTCACTGTCACCTTCACACTGTGTTCTCACTGGAGCCTTGGAAGGGAAACAGGTGTCATGACCCACCGTGACATTGAAGGAATGCAGAAGGTAGTGGGCTCAGCATGACACCTGCTAGTGAGGGAGACCCAAGGTTAGAGCTGAGTCTTGACATTAGTGCCACACTCTTGACTTCACTTTACCCCACCAAGGACCCCAGTGTGTAGATTCAGTGATGGTGACGGCCATGGACTGAGCCTTCAGGCAGGGGATGGGGCAAAGTGGCCTCCCCACCCATGATGCTGACTTCCTATAAAGTGCTCAGTGAGCTTCCTCCTTCCTCTATGCAGAGCACCTGCCCAGGAGCCAGTGGCCCTGCCCTGTAGTCTGCAGTGTCCCAACCTGCTAGGGAGAGGCTGGACCAGGTGTGGGAAACAAGCTTGGAGGTCTGGGTGAGGCCTGGGGGCCTCTGGGGAGTCAAGGAGTTCCAGTTCCTGCTCTCTGCTCCCCTTAGAAGACCCCATGGAGTGAGGAAACTGGTCAGGCATTGGGCACCCCTGGGACCTGCCCCACCGCTGAGCCCGGGTCAGGACTTCCCAATGCACTGACCTCCATGGTACAGCCTGGACTTTTTCTCCCCATCATGTCCGCATTTTTACCACCATCACACCTTTCTTCTTCCCTCACTGAATCCTTTCTCACTCCAATAAAACGTCTCCTGGGAAGGACAGACAGGAAACCTAAAGTTGGGGTGCCTTCTGGCAACGGAATGGAGACTTCATTTCCACATAAGCCCAGCTTTTAAAATTTGAACCATGTCAAAATACTTACCATAAGTTACTAATTTTTATATTGAAGTTTTCCCTCTGTCCAATCTTGGCCTCAGTTTCAGAGTCTGAGCTATTTATAACCCTTAGCCCCAGGAACCTACACACCATCGATCTGTGGATGTTAAGGTCCCTCTCTTTCTTTATTCACATATTTTCCTCTTATCTCCATTCCCATTCAATTCCCCACCCAAAAGCAATTCATTTCTCTGTTTACTTTTAAGCATTATTGCAAATGCAAATAGTTATTTTGGTCTATGTGCTATTTATTATTTGTGTTTGATGTAGATCAGTGATACAAAAAAATACAATGAAGCACAGTGTACATACAGTCCAGTGAATTATCTCTGAAGCCCATGGCCATCGCCCGGGTCAATGAATTGAGCATTGCCGGCTCCCCTCCAGGCACCACCACCCCTCTCTGCCTGTAACCACCATCTGAGCTTTATGATGAGGCTGTATCTTGGTTTTCTTCATATTTGCCACCTAAGCACTCGTTGCTAAACACTGCAGTTTTGCCATACTTCTAAACTGTTCTTGAATGGAAACATTTTATGTTCTTCTGTGTCTCATTTTTTGCTCAACATTAAGTGTATGAGCTTTTCCAGTGCTAGAGGTTCTACTGTGTTTTCATTGTTGGGAGGTGTCACTTTGTGTGGATGTGACATGGTTTTCTATCATTTCAACCCAGATGCCATGTGCTCTTCATTTTCTTGTGCTTCTTTTCAATGGTTTTCTGCTCACCTGACCAGGAACAGAGGCCTGGACCTCCTGCTCCCCTGGGGATCAACCTCCCTGTCTGGTCAGGTGTATGGAAAGGGCCCAGGACAGGCCCTGGTCAAGTAAGTCCTGGGTGTTTACAGAATGAGAAGGGGAGGAGCCTCAGGACACAGAGCCCTGACCCCAAGGACCAACTTCAGATCAGTCCTGTTTGTTGTCAAAGGCTTCAGTGTTTGCATCCATTGTGACTAACAGCCAAGTCACACACCAGCCTCATCCTTATCACTCACCACCACCATAAGGGCTTTAGAAATCCTCCAATCCCTTGGCCAAAAGCCCTTGGCACCTCGGGCTACACATCCAGGTACCACCCCAGTCAGTCACTGGGACCATCTCTCAGGCATTTACTGTTTATCCTGAGCCACGCTCTGATTGATTTCTAGGGCCCTTGGACCCCGATGTCTTTGGCAATCTTGAGCTGAGAACTGGACCCTTTGGTTCAATCTACAAAATGTAAGGAGAACCCACCGACCTGCAATCACCATGCTTTACAGTGAACGTATGGCAGGGAGTCTTTTAAGTATTTACCTCCCCTCAGTGCTCACCCTGTAGATGTGACTTAGACAGAATAACACAGGAAGTGTAGATGCTGAAGATGTGTGGTGAACACTGCATGACCCAAGAAGAGATTACTTGCTAGGGAGAAGAGGTGCACAGAGATGCAGTGCTAGAGGTGGCATTTGAATGAATGTTGCACCTGGTGGTCATCAAGCAAGCAAAGCAGGCAAGAGATTCCAGATCAGGACATGTGATCACAACAGCGCAGGCCAGACTTCATGTCAGGAGGACAAGGACAATTATAATAAAAGAGTGTTTTGAGCCAGGATTGTGGACTGGGAGAGGTTTGGGACAGTCTCAGGCTTTGTCCTCCCAGGACCTGCACCCTCTTCTGAACTAGCGAAGCTCCAGTTTTGCTCAGAGGTGGGAGTGCCCAGTGCCAGCTCACATGTTGTGCCTGGCCTAAGCCACTCTGAGCATCCTGTCCCTGATTCCCTGAGACCCTTTCAAACAAGGGTGATTACGTCTCCCACCGAGCTCAGGACAGTGGAACTGGGTGATGCTGGGGGTGAATCAGTGCAGTGTAAATTAGTCTACTTTTTTTGTAAGGAGAGGATCAATGCAGATATGCATGTTTATTTGTTTTTTGTTTTGTTTTTTAACTACTCTAAACCATGCCAGTATTATATAAAAAGATGGGTAAAAGCAAATGTTCCCAGATTGGGTTGGAGAAAATA